AGGCCTAGTACAGTTAGTGGGTACATCATTGATACTTGTTGTTAGAATAAAAAGGTGGTATATAAACTGTCTCTCTTTGTAAGCCTCCTTGAAATTTTTCATTGGTAGTGGACCCAAGCAAGGTTAAAACTCCATCCATCAAGATTTCTGATACCAAAGACTGGCCCCCGGTTAGACTGAACTGCCTGACCTGTGAAGGTTCATTGGCTTCCAGGCACAATCACAGCTGTCCTATGTTCTGGGTTTACATGAGCTCCGAAGTCAGCAGACTTGTACAGGTGGCTGAGTCGGGATAGGCTAACATACATTCAGATAATCTGATTCTGTGAGGTGGCAAAATGCAAACAGTGATTGCTTTGCAGTCACTGGCTAAAAACTGGGCTTAAAAACTTGGTAAAATTGTTCAGAAAACCAGAGGCACATTCTTCTAAAGTTTAAAACCAATAAAGAAAGTAGCTTGTGACATCATTTTCCCCTCAAGAAAAGACTTACTAGTCAGACAAGGGAGAAAATGTTCATTTGAGAAGTGTGATGATGTATTGTTTTTTACATTGAGATCATTTTTTCCCATGGTACAATGAGGTGTGCAGAACAGGAAATAAACAAACCTTTTGCAAACTGCTTCATTATTTTTAATGTTGCATTTACTAAAAGTCTACCACTATTGTTTACCATATCAAGTTTTCATCTCTTTGCAAAAGTCTGATGCTTATCTGACCAAACAAGAGGTCATGTTTGCATCACATGCTAGTACAATAGTCTTGGGAAAAGAAATGAGCTCAACTGTAGAGCAGGGTATATCAAATATTAAAACTGTCACTTGTGCTTAGTTCTTCCTGGGAAAAATAACCTTGGGTATTTGTTAAAATAATTTATTTAATATAAAACTGCAAAATAACCATTGCTTTAATTTGTGTCTGTTTATATAGCAGAATTATATCCTCTATAATTTATAAAATTTATAAATGTGAGAAGGCCTAGAACAGAGTACAATGTGGCATGCTATCTTTTGGGAAGATGAATTTGGTCAACAGGTTAAAAATAGCATCAAATCAAAGAGCTGGGAGAATGTTGGAGAACATCAAATCTAAGAACCTAATTGTATGGCTAAAGAAACTAAGACCAGAGATGAAGATGAAGTGACTGGCTACTGGTTATGAGTTTACATAGCAGTTTTAGGGCAAGGAAAAGACTACACACCTTCCTCTCCTCTGTCTCCCCATGCCAACCCTGGTTCTATTCCCAGTGGTCAGGCTCCTCTGACTTTTCTCTTTCCTCCTCACTGGTCTTATTATATCCAGGCCTCATCTTTTGAAGAAGTTATATAATGTTATTTAAATGCCCAGGCCTCATACCTTCTGCAGGAAGAAGGAGTGGGAGAAGGAGAAAGACAAAGACAAGGAAGAGCATTTGAAGTAGAATTAAAGAAGAAGGAGGATGAAGAGGAAGAGGAGGAGGAGATATAGAATTGAAGAAAGAGAATAAGAAGAGGAAGAAGTGGAAGGAGGATGAGGAGGAGGAAGAGGAGGAGAAAGCACTGTCTTAAGGACTCAGAGATGAATTAGACTCTCAGTCCAGTAGCAAGGTAACCAATAACACTATTCAGAGCCATCTGGATTGAGGTAAGCAGAGTTACGGGAGCACTCTGTATGGGCAATGTGTCCACTGAAGATGTGGTATGGGCTAGAAGGCCTCTCAAAGGAGGCAATATTTAAGGGATTCTAAAGAGGTTGGATCAGGGTTGCCAGGTAGAGGGAGAAGGAAGAGGGCTCCTGGGAGAAAGAAGAACCTGTGTAAAGGCAGATAAGCATGAACAGGTAAGATGTGTTTGGGAAACCACTAGACTTTCAATTAGCTGGAGGGTGAGTACGTGTGAAGGACTGACAGAAATATCTGAGGGGCTGTGCAAACCACATTGAGCAGTTTGGCCTGAGGGGTGTTAAGTGTGGAGAGGCAACATCAGGTTGGGGTTTATCTTCCATGCCCCTCTCATCCTTGTTATTTCTCCCGTAGCCTCTTCATAGCTTTTCCTCTTGGTTAGCTATTGGAGATAATGAGTTCTGCACATTGGTGTGTTCCAACTGAGACCAGATGGTCATTCAGCAGTGAGTGAGCAGGGCTCCAGGCTTCCTGGCTCAGGAGGAATCTCAGCTTACCCATTTACTAGCTCTGTCTTAAGAGCAAGCTACTCAACTCTCTGGGCTTTAGTTTCCTCATGGACATAATAGAGAAAACGATAGTGCCAACCTCAGAAGGGCTTTGTGAGGGTTAAATGAAGAGCCTATGAAAAATCGTTAGAGTATTGCCCGGCCATACCATAAACACAAAGAAAAGATTGACATGAGCTATACAAGGGCCTTTGGGTAAGGGCCTATAATGGATGCAAGGGAATGGTGGGATGACAGCCAGGCCTTCCTCAAAGTTTTGTGCACCATCACTGGACCAATCAGAAGGCCTCTGTAAGCCTTTAGGCCACGATTGTGCAATCTTCCCCACCTCTGCCCCACCTGAAATTCTGTGCTTCCTTTAGTCTCTCAATTGGTAAATCTGTATTTCTCTATCATTGAGCCTGCAAATTGACATACCCTTCCTGTCTTTCCCAAGTCCCTGCACACAGCAGGTTTTAATAGGGATGTTGAGAAAAGTGAGAATACAAAAGAAACCAGATCAGCAAATGACAATGAGGCTTTTGATTTGAGCTTGCATTGATGACAACACTGCATGTGGTTTGCCAAGCATCCAATTTACAACTTTACCTCTCATACTCCTGGTGAGTGCCTCATGCGTTGAAATCATCTTTTGTGATTAACTTTATACAATGCTTATGCTAACACCATGCTCACCTGAGCAACTCATAAATATTTCAGGAGGAGAAACACAGTGATCTTCCCCAACACAGCCATATAACAGTTTCAACATAATTAGTAGCATTTCTGGATCCAACACAGCACTCTTATAATGCATATGATGGAGGAAATGAATGACTCTAATTATACCCTATTAAATCTTATTAATCCTCATTAGAATCCTATTATTCTTTGTAAGTGGGTTAATGGGGGAAAGAAGAAGAAATTCTGGTCAAGTGCCGTTATATATGATGAGGATTGGGTGAATCCATTCTTATTTTGTGTGATACCAGGTGTTTTGCATATTAAACAGAAGCCCTTAGAACATGGGTTTGCTGCAATGTTGAAGGTAAATGAATAGGATCTGATCTTTTTAAAGCACCACAACAAAATCTCTTTTAAATTCATTTTTTTCCTATTTCAAACTATATTAGTTGCAAAGAGAAAAATATTTCAAATAGTACACTATGGAATAGGTACTCTTGACCTTATCTCTCTGCTATTATTTTCATATTTTTGTATGTGTAGATGAGAATTTGAGAGGAAGAGAGATTAAGCAATTTGAACCCAGGAATTCAAAGACCTTGTACAAGGAAGGTGTTAAATAAATGTTAAGTGCAATAATATATGTTCCTACATTTATTTCTTTAATTCTTGATAAAAAAAAATCCCGCCAAATTCCAGAAGAACCAAGTTTTGGAAGTTTCATGAATAGGCAACTCACAGTGTACTCCCCACATTCATGAATGGAAATTAAGTCGCTGGAGGTAAGGGCCTCCTGTCTGGGTGGCAACATCATAGGATTAGTCAGGTGACTTGGATGGGTGGAGGTGAGTTCAGGTGCTTGTGTGTTGGGCAAGTTACTTTACATTTTTTCCTCAAATGTAAAAGGGGGACTATACTTTGTCCTATCTAACACAAAGATCTAAAAAACCACCAGAAAGTGGTTTAATGATGTGCCGAAGTGAGAATTATTGTAGATACCAGCAGAACAGAAATACAAGGAAACAACGTCCCCAGCCTCGGAAAGCCTTCCAGGCAATGACAAGGGCACAGTCCAACCCTGACACAGTAAATGGTGGCGTTCGTGATTGCTCACGTTTACAACCGTCAGAGGAAAACGAATCCAAGTCTAACTTTCCAAGAACAGGTATGACTTTATTCAAACCAGTTCACCCAGGTCGCTGATTTCGTTTTAAAGCTATAAGCACAGAATGAGGTTTCTGGGCTACAGGACCAGGCTGTGAAACAGACGTTCAGCTCCAGGAGTTCATTTATTGGAGCAAAGGACAGAGGAAGTAGCCCTGAAGCAACGTCCTTGCTATTCAGGGTTGTCAATCAGACCTTCCAGGAACTGATTCCGGGCCAAAGGAAGTTCGAAACATCTCTTCCCTGGGTGGTCTGCGTAGACCGCTCCCCTCGGACCCGGCTCGCCGCTCGGTGGGAAGGAGGCAGGCAGAGCCCCGACTGACGGCGGGAACTGGGCTGGGAACCTGAGCACCCAGGTCCCGCGCCTGGGTCGGCGGCGTGTAGGACCCTGTACAAATCGTTTCTCTTTCGAGGGCTTCACTTTTCTCTTGTGTGAAGTGGACGGTGGGAGGTTGGTGTCCGCCAGTTCCGACATCCAGCACGTTGTGAGTCCTGCTGGGAATCCGGGGCGGGGCTCAGGACCGGGATCTCGGACGGGGTTTCCGAAGCAGGACCTCTGCTGCTCGGCCTCGGCGCCCTAACTTGGCGCCTTTAAGAGCAGAGGCAGGTTCTCCCGTGTCTTAAACAGCCCCTCGCCTCGGCGGCTTCTTCCTTCCTCCATCTCCTTCCTCTTCTTCCCGTGCAGGCAAAGCCTCCACACCTCCCTCTTCCTTTTCCTCTCTGCAAGCTCCCCGCATCCCTGCGTCCCCTCCTCTGTGCCCAGGAAATAAAATGTCCGCGGTGCGCCCACCTTTCGGCGAAGCCGCTGCCCGCCGCGGGCCCCCTCCCCCCGGCGAGCGTCGCGCGGCGGCTCGGCGGGCACCCGCCTTCCCATACCTTACATGGACAAATGCGTGCAGGCAAAGTCAGGAATTCAGGCCCCTGACGTCAGCCTCCAGCTCTCAGGGCACCGCACGGGAGACCGAGGGGAGGGGGTGGGGACGGTGGGGAGGAAGGAGGGGGAAAGGCACCAACCAGCAGCCGCTCCAGCCCTGCCGAAGTTTCACTTTTTGTCTGTGGGTTCGCTCCCGGGCCCCGCGCGAGCTTTCCCGGGATAAGTAGCTTTAACGAGCAGGGGGACAGCCGGGAGCTGCCAGGTAAGGGCTGTTTGCACGGCCCGGGGCGCGGGGCACGGTGCGGGGCGCGGGGCCGGGCCTGTCCGGGGCTGGGGACAATGGGAGGGGGAGTGCCCGGGCACCTCCTCCTACGCCTTTGCCTCCGCCTCCAGCCGCCGCCGCCGCCGCCGCTGCCCCGGCTGCCTCCTCCCAGAGGTATTGTTGCAAATCCTCCTTCCTTCCCCCCACCCTCCGCCTGCGGGTGTCTCGGGAACCCCCAGCGTCCCCGGGCGCGAGCGCCTCTGGGGTGGCAGGAGCGCGGGCGCAGGGTGTGGAGTGTACACCCTGCCCGGGCCGAAGGGCCCGCGGTGCGGAAGTGCCGGCCGCGGGGCATTCACGGGGTGCACGCCATTGAAGGGAGACCCCGAGTTTTCGGGAAGCTCAGATCGCGGTCTGGGCGGGGATGGAGCCCTTCCCTCGCGCCCCCTGCCTGGGCCTTTCTGGGCGCCCAGGGGGCGGGGCCACACCCAGCTGCTTAGAGCTTTCGCGGAATCCCAGTTGTCACTGTGGAGTGGGCCTCGGAGTCCAGGCATCCAAGCCCCCCATTTTACAGTTGGGGCAACTGAGGTCCAGAGAGAAGGAGGGCCTCTTCAGAAGTCAGTCACTAAAGGCTGATCTGTAATTAAAATAAATGGCTGCCAATTTCTAATTTTCTTTCTCCAAGCATTTCTCCGGCGCCCACTGTGTGCCAGGCGCTGTGGTGGGTTGTTGGGTCAGAAAGGCAGATAAGGTCCTGTTCCTGCCCACAGGGAGAGCTCAGACCACCGTGGAGCCAAACCCGACCCCAGACGGAAAGTGCTGAGTGCTGGGGGAAAGGCATGGGTAACGCTGTAATGGGCTCAGGAAAAGGAGTTTGATTTCTTGGTCCCTGAAGGGGGATCAGAGATGGTCCTTTGGAGAGACACCCCCCCCCCCACCCCCACCCCGCGCGCTTGATCAGGGCTTTTTGAAGGATGGGAGTTTTCTGAAACCAGCCAGTTTGTGCTGGGGTGGGTGGGGTGGGGGACTGTAGACAAAAGATACTAAATAAAATGTGAATAGTGGAGATGAACTGGGTTGGGGGCATGGGGTTGGAGCGAGGGAGTACATGAGATGAGTTAGTCAGTGGAATTGTACCTAAGTACTCTAACAGAGCAGGGCCTTTGGGACTTTGGGGTCCTAGGGAGAGCAGAAAGAACTTCCTGGCTTCCCTTCCCAGGGATCACTGTCTTCCAGCCCTCAAGCAAAATGCAAAAATTTAGGGTCATCTCTGAGTTTCTTTCCTAGTACCATACTCACTTTGTTTCCAATCCTCTTTCTCTTTCCACCCACCTCCTTTTCCAAGTGGCTTGCTTTCCAATAAAACTCATTCTTTACCCTGGACGGTTTGGCTCAGCCGTTAGAGCTGTTAGAGCATTGGCCCCCTGGACCAATGAGTTGCAGGTTTGATTCCAGTCAAGGGCACGTACCTCTGTTGTGGTTCCTCCATGGCCCTGGTCAGGGTCCTGCAGGAGGCAACCAGTTGATGTGTCTCTTTCACATCTATGTTTCTCTCTCTCCCACTCTATCTGAAGATAAATAGAAAAAATAAACAAATCCTTGGTGAGGTGTTAGCGACTTAATGGCTTACCTCTCCCAGAATTTGTGCATTTTAAGAAAGCCTTTAAGTGGAGGGAAGGGAAGCACCTAACTCCCTCTCTGCATCCCCAATCCTCACCCTCCCTCAGTCTTACAGAGGGGGAACAAAAATGAAGGCCCAAAGAAGGCGGGTGCTACAGTGAATAATGGTGGGTGGTGGAAAGGCAGAATTTCCAATAGGGTTTACTCTACTCTATGACCAGCATTTCTCCCTCCAGGGTTCTTGCCAGTTCTGGGAACCATTACAAGGAAGAGTGTGTCTTGCATTTATTTAATCAATGTAAGACAGTCCCTCAACTCCAATGCCCAGGCCTTTACAGTCTGGAATGTAGACTCTAGATGGGAGATAAGTAGTTGGGGTTAGCTTTCTGAATGGTAGCTGCACAGGCCTGGGACTTCGGGTCAGGCAGTCCCTCAGGGTCATGCTCCGTATAAACAGCTGGCCAGCCTAGAGTTGGCTTTGGGGATGGGTAGAGGGAGAAGAAGCTGAGATGCTGAGCTGATTACTATGGCTGGGACTGATTAGAACCCTTAGGGTGACATATTCTGGTAGGGAGGTCATCTCTCTGGGGGAGGTAGACAGGTGCAGGCAATGATTGGTGGGAAAGGAGGTCTGATAATGAAGGGCCTTAGAACGCCAGGCTCAGAAGTTTGGATACGACTTGAAGTCATCATTTGAGGGTTTTGAGCAGGCTGGGACATGATTGAGAGGGGAGGGACTGGCATTGGGAAGTCTTCTGCTGCCCATTTTTGGAGAGAGGCAATAATTTAGCCTGCGAAAATTATCGCTGGGTATTCACTCACTTGACATATATTACTGAATGCCTATTACGCGCCATTGGTGAATGTGAAGATTTTATAGCATGTTCCTGTATTTTAGAGACAAATAAGTTATATTTCATCAGTTCTAAGGCACACTTTTTCAAATTTTAATATCACTGAAATTGGGCTGTGTTATAATCACAGATGTGTCATAGTTGAGCAATTTTTCATTCTAAGTTGATGATGGTACATCTTACAGTCAATGGTTTAGATTTGATAAAAGTTGTTAATCATTCCCTGTATGAATGTATAGGGCTTTGCACTTTATAAAACACTTTCCCATCAGATATTCCATTTTAATTTCAAAAGTCCCCTGAGAACTGGGCCTGGTGACACCCTCATCTCCATTGGAACTCTTGCCCAAGGTCACACAGCTAATTAAAAATGTGCTCAAAATTACAACTCAGAAATTTGACTCTTGGTGTTAATATGTGACTTTACCCTGCTGTGGAACTCACATGGGTTCATGGGGAACTGGGGAATAGTCAGATTTGATTTGATTTCAGAACTATGGTTTAAGATGCTGAAATGATGATGGGTGTTTGGCCAAGGGCAGAGTAACTCACGGACTGGGAAACAACCTAGAAATTTGCAGTATTTAGTGGAAAACAGAGCTAGAGAAGATGCCAGGTAGCATGGTAAAACCAGAGGATGGAACACAGCTATTTTTACATAAGGGAGAAGAGCAGTGTAGGAAGCTCACAAGTTCAGGCGTCTACCTACTGTGAACCAGGAATTGGCTGGCCCCCAGAGTGCAAAGATGTACACAGTTCCTTTCCTTGAGGACCACACCTGTGCTGGGATCTCCACGCATGTGCACGCTGTTCTCGGGATATGTTTCAGCTGCTCTGCACTGAAGAGGGTCAGTGTCAGGCAAGCCAGGACAGAGGGAGTGGTGCCTGAAGAGAATCTTTGGGGCTAAGTAGGAATTGCCCAAGTGGAGGAAGGACAGATAAGTGTCGTCTGTGAGGTGATGGAGACATGGGGACATAGAGGGTGTTTAATTCTTGAAGCTGTATTTTGTATGGCTAGCTTGAAGTGGGCTGTGGGAACTGGAGAAAGGGGAGGACTTTTATTCTTTTTCTAAGTAGATTTAAGTTTACCTTGTGGGCTGTAGGGGCCATTAAAGGGTTCTTTAGAGATTCGCAAAAGAACAAGCCTGGGCAGGAGCTCTGAAACCATCTCTGGGAATAGGTATTTGGATAGTAATGCAGGAAGCATAGTAACACATTTAAGTAATTGGTTGAGTGAACCTGAGACTTTGACCTTGGACAGTAATTAGGAGTCTGAGCTCTGTGTGTGCATTGGTGGGTGGGGATTTTTGTTGGAACGTGGCTTGGGAGGCTGTGCCTTGCTGGAAGAAACCGAGGTGAGGAAGGGGAAGTGAAGTTGTGTTGTCTGCAGGAAGCTCCTATCTGGGTGGAAATCCAGGCCTCGAAGGTGTGTATGAGACAGAGAACCTGATGTGCGAGGAAAGGGGAAGGAAGGGAAGTGTGGTGTGGGTCGTCTCTAGGCGTGGAGGAAATGGCCAGTGAATTCCTAATGCAGCTCACAGAAAGGAGAAAGGACACAGCTGTATCCTCGAGGCCTTCATCTCTTCTGACTTTCCACAAATAGGGTGAGTGGGTGGCCAGGGAGTTAATTGGATTCATGCTTGGAAGCAGTTAACCCACAGAATGGAGGCTAGAAAATGTTAATCTTTCTATTGTTCATTCTTAATCATAACAGTAATAATAATATAGCTTTGGAAAATTTTTGAGTGCTGGGCATGTGCTTATGTAATTTTCATACCGATTTATGAAAGTTGGTTTTATGATTATAAGCTTCATTTCACAGATGAGATGATGAGTTTGGTTAAATATGGTTTTACCACTACTAAGGGACAGGACTCAGTTTCCAACCTTGGCCTGATCTGTCACACACTCTTTTATGTGCCCACAGAATGAAAAATTCAAATCAACAGTGATTCTTAGGGTTCTTCCTTGGAATGTAATTCAGTATACATTTATTGGACCCTGGCGGGATCAGAATCGAGGGTTTATGTGGGTGAGCAGTCTTCGCAATTTCACACTGGGGGTGTGGGGCTCTACCATTCCCTCCAATAAGATATACCATTCCCTCTACCCTTTGGGTGTTTTCTCTCTCTCCAAATTGGAGAAGCAGAGCCTCACGCAAATGATCTGCACACCCCTCTCCCCAATATTTCCTCTTCTCTGGCCCTCTGTTGTGATAAGGATTCCTTCCGAGTTTTATTTAGATATAATTGAATATATCACTGTATAAGTTTAAGGTATACAGCATAATGGTTTGACTTACATATATTGTGAAATGATTAGTACTGTAAGTTTAGCTAGCATTCGTCATCTTATATAGATACAAAATAAGTAAAAAGCAAAAGAGAAAAGTTTTCCTTGTAATGAGAACTCTTGGGATTTACTCTAAATTTCATATATGTTATAGAATAGTGTTAACTGTAGTCACCATGTTGTACATTACATCCCTAGTACTTCAGTGATAAGAATTTGGTGGAGTGTCTTGATCTC